ATCAGGTGCTATTCCCACACTGTGTCTCCAGTGTTGTCCCCTGTAGGGCTATGGGTCAGTGAGGGGCATCATGTTTCATAGTGGGGCTGGCCATGTGGTCCTCGCTGTGGACTGGCTGCTCTAATTGGGATCTTCGTCCTCAAGACTGCAACTCTTTATGGGAGTCAAAAGCCTCTTCTTTCTTCCTTGGAACAGCTGGTGGGTTTGAACTGCTGACCTTATGGTTAGCTGATAATGTGACCAGATTTTAGCATTGGTAAAGCGGGGCACCAGCAGGACACCATTGATAAAACTCATATCCTGGTGAACTAGCCACATGGCATCCGAAAACCATATACCCTAGCTTGTCGTGCATTCTTTCCAAAAATCGGGACTTTTAAAAATGCCACAGGACGCGGGACAAATTGTTAAAAATCCGGACTGTCCCGCCAAAAGCGGGACGTCTGGTTACCTTAGGTTAGCAGCCCAAGGAGCAATCACTGTGCCACCAGGGCTCCGGTTTCACAAGAAAGGAAAACATTGCAATGAAGTCAAGGATTTTAAAGGCATGCTTTGGAGCAGCCCCTCACCCCTCCCTGCTCATTAGAGCGCAGACTCTTTATGAGCTACTAGGTCTCAGGACCCCTGCCCGGTCCACCATTTTACTCTGTGCTGTGCCAGCCCTTGTTGTGCTGTCCAGTCTGGTCTCCTGGCCACTGCCTGCCAGACCCTCGGGGTGCCAGGACCACAAACCTGGCTGGCACCAGAGCAGAGCCTGGCTAACCACCATGCCACTCCCAAGAGACCCCAGCCAGGGTTCCACAGAACTGGGCTTCAGAGAGCCTGGGACTTCTAGGGCCCCTCTCTGAGTGTCTGAAGACCCCGAGTCAAAGCAGGGCTGGGCTGGGCCTCCCCAAGCAGCAGCACAAAGCTGCCCTGGGAGGGGTTGCCCGGCAACCAGCTGGGGCTCCTCCCAGGGCTGCTGTGGGTGGCAACGTTGCCCAGCAACCAGGTGGTGGTGTCCCCAGAGCCTAGGCCACACAGCTGCGCCCAGCCCTGTGCAGGGTCTGTGGGACCCCTGGGACCCTGGTTGACTCCCCGAGACCAGGACAGCTGTGCTCTGGCCATAATGAACATCATCCTCACCAGGTGAGTCACTCTGCATGATGGCTGGGTCAGGAGGGTGGCAATAGGCTTGTTTGGGCTGATGCAGCCTGGGACTGCCTTGGGGCCCAGAGCTCCCTCTCATACCACACCTGTCTCAGGGTTAGGGACAGCACAGGGTTTGGGTGGCAGCTTCTAGGATGTAGTGCCTGCCTGCTGCACCTGCACTAGTGCCCTGCACTCCGCTGGAGGCCACAATCTCTGGGCCCCTCTGTCCAGTCCTTCTGTCCTTCCCTCGATCCTTGTCCAACCTCTTCAGCAAGCTGCCACCCTCCACCCCAGCATCCAGTCTCTCCTGGTGCACTCTCAGGCCTGCCTACCCAGAGCTTCTTAAAAATGCAGCCTCACTCCCAACAATTCTGGTTCATACTGACAGAGCGGGGCCTAGGAATCTGCATTTTTTTACCTGAACGGCCTCCCCATTCTCTCTCACACACACACACACACCTGGGAGAACACAGGTCTTGCTAGCTGTGTGACTTTTAGCACGATGCTTCATATCTCTGAGCCTCAAATGGCAATAGCACTAAGACCCCAAACAAAAAACACAACATGAAGCGAAGCTGCTGCCGTAGTATGGGGGCCAGGTGGTGGTGGCCCTGGGTCTGTCAGGGGAGAACCGTGCTCCTGAGAGGGCCAGAGGCTGAGATGATAGACATGGGTCACCAGGCCTTTCTTCTGAACACAGCCTCATGCTTAAGTGTTTGCACAGTTGGGAGGCTGCCTCCATTGCAGGTATTGCCGCTGAGGATTTGTGAGCGGAGAAGCAACACAGGGCTATAGGGCTAGGACTTGTTAGGGGGACAAAGGGCTGCTCCCAGGGAGGCTCCAGCTCTGAGTGGCTCCAAGGGCTTTGGTCCAACCGAGAGAGGCAGGGCAGCAACACCAGGGGTGAGGGTAGGCGAGGGGGACAGAAGGTGTAGATCAAGTGGGTTGGGGTGAGGAGAGGCAGGCCTACCAGGGCCCTCTCTGGAGAAGCACACCCAGCTGGTGAGGCCAGGCCTCATGTTGGGGGAGAACACAGACAAGCCGGCCGCTCCCTCAGGAGATGCTAAGGGAGCAAGAACCATGACAAGTGACAGCAGATACATAAGACACACAAGTCAAGCAAGGCTTGAGGGCTCCCACCAGCTGGGGGTGGCGGGGGCGCTAGAACTTCCCAGGAAGAGTGGCCTTGGTTGTGAGGGGTGTGGCCCTATTGAATCTTCCAGCCGCCTGGGAAGAGAAACCCCTGCATCATCCCATCGATTCCAATACATCATGAACCCCCATTGGTTTTGAGGCTGTCATTCTTTCAGGGAGCAAACAGTCTTTGTTCTCCCAAGAAACCATGGGGGAGTTTGCAGTTAGAAGCCCCACGCCTACCCCATGGTGCCACCAGGGCTTCGTTAGGAAGGTAAAGGCCATCTTAAGGGGCCCGGGGCAGTGGTGGCTCCGTAGTGGGAGTCTCAGCCTCCAGAGGGGAGCCTTGGGTTCAGGTCCTGCCAGTGCACGGCTGTCCCTGCAGGTTGGCGTGGCCCTGTGCCGCACAGGCTTCTGTAGAGCTTGCAGCCTTGGGCAGCCAGCAGCCAGCCCATGAAAGCCCTGAGCACCACAGTGGTCTGGGCCACAGCTGATGGCAGGGCTGATGCAGGCCTGGGGGGTATAGTGCATGGGGTCCCCGAGCATGGAGGCTGCCTCGATGGCACTGGGTAACAGCAAAGGGGCCCCAGGGAAGATACGACCAGGTTTGGCATCAAAGTCACAAGTACATTCCTGCCCCTTGGCCACTTAAGGGCTGTGTGACTGGGCAGTTCCCTCGCTCTCAGCTTCTTCCTTGAGGGCCACTGATGCCACCATGGGGGGCCAGCAGTGCTGGGCAGGTGCCTGGTACACACGGGCAGCTGCTCCAGGGCTGACTCCCTCCCCAAGGCCCGCTCAGGCCCCCGCCTCCACAGGGACAGCCAAGTGAAGGTGATGGAGAACTCGGTGACCAATGCCGAGAAATACTTCGGCCAGTTCTGCTCCCTGCTGGCCTCCTACACCCGCAAGACAGCCCGGCTGCGGGACAAGGCCGACCAGCTGGTCAAGCAGCTCATTGACTTCGCCAACACCGAGAACCCCGAGCTGCGGGCCACCCTCAGGAACTTCGCCGAGGACCTGGCCAAAGTGCAGGACTACCGACAGGCTGAGGTAAAGTGGCACCCCAAACCCCATTGTCAGAGGAGAAGGGCCTTCTGGAGTGGGACCAGGAGTGGGCCCCTGACTCTGGCTGGATGCCTCCCCAGAGAAGAGGTGGAATTCCCGCCAGGTGCTGGAGGGGGTGCAGGAATCTTTAAAGAAAGCTAAGCCCTCCCATGCCCCACCCCAAACAAAAAACAACCCTGTGGACTGGAGAGTGGAACCGCTGTGCTGTCGTGTGAGCACCACAGGCTGCCTCACCTCCAGAGCCACAGCACCCACACTGTCCAAACAGGCGCTCCTGCTCCCACTGCAGGGCCAGTGCTGCTGAGCTGACTCGAGGGTGGTGCCACGAGGGTCAGATAGAGCTGGGCTCCCTCCGCTCTTGGTGGCTGAGTTTTGAAGACAGGTTCTCCAGGCCTTTTGTGCCAGAGGTTATCTGCCTGCGGGAGCCCTGGTGGCATAGTGGTTAGGTGTTGGGCTACAACCTACAAGGTCAGCAGTTCAAAGCCACTGGGACAAGATGGGGCTGGCTATCTATTCCCGAAATGAGTTACAGTCTCAGAAACCCACAGTTCTGAGTTGATAGGGTCGCTGTGAGTCAGCATCAACCAGATGGCAGTGAATTTGATGGTTTGGTGGTCTTCCAAAAGGCTGTACCAAGAAGAACCCAAACCCACTGCCACGGAGTGGACTCTGACTCCACCGAGTGGGCAGGCAGAGCAGCACTGCCCCTAGGTGTCCACGGCCACCATGTTTATGCACAGGATGGCCTCTGCTTTCTCCTGTGGAGCAGCTGGGGTGACAACTGCCACCAAAGCACCACTGAGACCCCTTGGGGTTGTTCACACAGCCCTGCAGGGTCCAACCGTGCCTATTCTACAGGTGAGAAAGCGAGGCTGAGGGAGCTGAAGTGCATCAAAGGTGCTGTCACCCTCGCAGGAGGGAGACAGGTACCCAGCCCAGCCTGGTGCTCACACAGGTATGCAGGCAGCATTCCATAACTGCTGTCTGACACCCGCCCCCCTCCCCGCCTCCAGGTCGAGAGGCTGGAGACCAAGGTGGTCAACCCCCTGAAACTCTATGGGGCACAGATAAAGCAGACCCGGGTGAGTTGGGCACTGGGGACGGGCAGGTGGGTGGGTGGATGGAGTGGGTCTCTCTCCCCTGGTCCCAGGAAGCAGCCTCCTCTTCCTCTAGGCTGAGATCAAGAAGTCCAAACGGGCACGCAATAATGAGATCAAGCAGCTGGAGAAGCTGGAGAAGCTGAGGCAGAAGTCCCCCTCGGACAGGCAAATGATCGTATCCTTCCTGCTTGTCACCAGGGGCCTTGTGGACGGGGTAGGGGCTGCCAGGGGGTGGGGGGTGGGGGCTTCCAAGGAGCTGCTTGGCTTGATCCTTAACGGAGGCTATTTCAGTCCCAGGTGAGTGTCGCCATCTGTCTGGGGAAGGTGGAGCCACACTCAGGTCATAAGTGGCAGCCAGGTGGCTTCTGCCTGACCACAAGCAGGGGTATGAAGGGCCCTGCGCTCAGGATGAGGGACTTGAAGTGCAGAGAGAGCACCTGCCTGAGATCAGGGGACCTGGATCTGTCCTAGCATTGACACTACCTAGATGGGGGGCCCCATGGGCTCAGCTTCCTTATCTGTACCCCCCCCAAAAAAATTTTCACTGTCATCCAGTTAATTCTGACTCACAGTGATCTGACAGGACAGGGTAGAACTGCTCCTATGGGTTTCCGTGGTGGTAACTTTTACGGAGTAGGAAGCCCCGTCTTTCTCCTGAGGCTCAATGGCAGTGAGTCTAATTTTATTTGTTTAGAGCTTAGTTCCCAGGTGACACCAACGGTTAGGCTGGAGGCTCACACACTCAAGGGTGTCCTGGAAATAGGGCCAGGTGACCGGTTTTGGGAAAAGCCAGCCATTGAAAGTCCTACTCGGGCACACAGGGGTCCTAAGTTGAAGTGAACTCAGTGCCAACTGGTCTGGTTTTGTTTTTCGTTTCTCCACTTTGGAAACCAGTCCCCTGCCCACCCCTGCCAGCAACAACCTAGGCCAGGGGTGTCACAGACACCATTGCATGGTCAAGTCCCCATGGTAGTGGTGAGAAAACAGAGGCTGAGAAGGGTGACTTGCCCAGGACTCAGAATTACCAGGTAGACCCAGCATTCAGGGCGGGGGCGCTTGACTCCAAAGACAGGCTTCAGAAACGAAGAAGCTGCATGCACAGGGACGGAACCCTCTAGAACAATGGCCCAGCAAGGGTCTCCCTGCAGTGCAGAGTATTTTTACTGTCTCAAGCTTCAAACAGGGAAACTGAGGCTCAGAGAGGTTAGGTGCCCTGCCTGAGGTCACACAGCTGTTGTGCAGGCCTGGCTAACTCCAGAACCCTAGTGTGTCCCACCTCTGAGTGGATGAGAGAGCCTGGGCGAGGGGATGGAGAATGATCCAGAATGCTGACTGAAGGAAAAATCACCCCTGCGACCCGTCCACCTCTCGCCCGCTGGAGTCAGGCAGAGACGAGTGTGCAGCGGGCCTCGGTGGACGCCAGCCGCACCACGCGGCAGCTGGAGGAGACCATCGACGCCTTCCAGAAGCAGAAGCTGAAGGCCCTTCAGGTGGGGCCCCGTGGCACAGGCACTACGGCCCTGTGAGTATGTGCCACTGTGTCTGTGTGTGCGTGCATATGTGCCATGGTGTGTGAGTGTGTGTCGCCGTGTATCTGTGTGAGTGTGGGTATGTGCAACTGTGTGTGTCTGCGTACCACTGTGTGCGTGTCACTGTGTGTCTGTGTGTGTATGTGTACCATGGTGTGTGTGTGTCACCGTGTATCTGTGTGAGTGTGGGTATGTGCAACTGTGTGTGTCTGTGTACCACTGTGTTTCTGTGTCACTGCATGTCAGTGTGTGTCACTGTGTATCTGTGTGAGTGTGTGACACTGTGTGTGTTCCATTGTGTGCATGTCCCATTGTATGCCTGTGTGAGTGTGTGTGTATTTCTGTGAGTGTGGGCATATGTGCCACTGTATGTATGACATTGTATATCTGTGTGTGTGCGTGTGTCACTGTGTGTCTGTGTGATTCTTTGTGGGTGAGGGTCCACATGTGAACCTGTGTGAGTGTGAGAGAATCTGTGTGTGTACACATGCATGTGTAGGCAGGAATGAGTCTATAAGCTTATGTGTAAGAGAAAGCATTATGTAAGTGTGAATATGTTTGTGGCCTTATGTGTGTGCAAGTGTCTAGGCCTGTGGGTGCATGTGAATATCTGTGTGCATGTGTGTTTGGAACATGTCTCTCTCTGCATGTGCATGTGTGTGAAACGTGTGTGTATGACCGTGTGTGCGCCCCATCTCCCATACTATTCCTGGCTGCAGGGTGCAGGGCAGCCAGCTGCTTCTGGCAGCTGTTTGGGACACAGCTGTCCTGTCGGAAGGCCTCCACTGGTAAAGGTTCAGTGGCCTCTGTCCTTTCCCTCCTGAGTCGTTCGACACCCTTCTCTGGGTGAGCTGTGAGAGGGGCAGAGGGACAGGCCCCAAGGCAGCTGGAGCCCCAAACCCTGAGGTCGGCTCTGTGAGACTTCAGAAAGCTGAGCCTTGCAGGGCCAGCTGGTCACAGAGGCCCAGTCCCCCTCTTGAGCCCTTCAGTCCCTCTTCCAAATCACTGCTCAGAAAAGCCAGCTGCTGCCAAGCCTGCCCCTAGCACACAGTGCCCTGTGCACCTCAGAGAAGAACTGGGCGCCCTCCCCTCTGTTCTCTCTCTCTGCTGACTCGGGATGGGGATGGGGTCCCCAGGCCCTCCTTCTGAGGTGCTTCAGGCAGCCTCCTCCCTTCCAGTTGACAGCTGTGCAGGATAACCGCTGGCACCCTTAGGCGGCTCCCAGTCACGTTAGAGGCAGGTCACCCTTGTCATTCCTGGGCTGGACACCTGCCCGTGGTATCTGCTGTTTGAAGGCCCACTCCCACTGGGCCTCCCACACAGTAGGAGGGTGCACTGTGGCCCCATCCACTGGGAGCTCTATGCTGCTTGCCGAGCCAAGCTGTGTGGGGGGGGTGGGGGGGAGTGGTGGTAGGGGAGCAGGGGGCCGTGGGAACCGACATAGGTTGTTTTCATCTCTCACTCAGCACACTTGACAGTAGGGTTCAGTCAGGTGTCCCCCCACCTCAACACAAGGCTGAGGGACACATGCCAGCCACCCTCCCTGTCTCTGACAAGATCACCACAGCCCATGGGTAACAGAGGCAGAAGTTTCCACAATCACCTGCCGACAGGCCCTGTCCTTCCAGGGGGACACAAAAGCTGCTGTAGAAGCCCCATGAGAAACCCCTCAAGGAGAATGCGTCCTCCTGCCCACATGCCTGGACCCATCCCTGAGGAGGGCAAGTGGTCAGTGTCTTATGAAAATGACTCTCCCAAATGCAGCTCGCTGCCAGCGAGAGAGCCAGTGCTGACCCCTAGCTGCCATTCCCAGGGTTTCTGAGCGGTGACTCACTGTGGGGCAGACAGCCTCACCTTGCTCACATGGAGCCCTGGGGCAGTTTGAACTGTCGACTTTGTGGTCAGCAGCCCAAGAACCTGCAGCCCAGCCATTCTGGCCTGACCACCACCCCAGCCCCAAAGAACTGACATTTGTAGAAGGTTCTACATGGCTGTGTTGCTTGTTACAGCAAAAGACTAAAACTTAAAACCGGAAGATCCAAGCGGCTAGTTTAATCAATTCCATCTACCTGGCACTCATGCCAAGAAATAGTGACGGCGATGTCCATCAGAAACCCCAGCCTACCTGCCCAGGATGGGATGGGAAAGGGGAGAGGGCAGGGGCGAGATGCCTTTCCATGGCCCTCAGCATAGGTTTTGACTTTTGATCCCTGCAGTTGGCTTTGTCTGCTCAAACCGGATGAATGCAATGAAAAGTCGCCAACTAAAGCCCCTCCTTCCCCCCCAGGACTCATCTTCTCAAGGACACCTACCCCACCCCAACCCCCACTGCCACCCACTGTCTGCTTCTTCTGCTCCCCCGCGTGACCCTGGGGCTCCTCTTGGAATAAGTCTCTCACGTGCTTTGGGCCTCTCTTCCCACAGAAAATCTTTTCGGACTTTGTGACCATCGAGATGGTCTTCCATGCCAAAGCGTTAGAGGTGTACTCCAGTGCCTTCCAGAACCTGGAAAACTATGACCTCGAGCGAGACCTCGAGGTAGGACACCTGGGTGGCTTTCTGTTTGGTGTGTGGGACTGAGCCTAGTTGGGGGTGGGGGCTCTGTCTGAAGGCAAGAGATGCTACTTGGTCAGGTTTTATATGTTTCATGGATTTGAAAACTCATTTTGGTGAGCTGTTTTCAGTGTCAGCCTTTGGGCATCAAAGCGAGAGGTGGGGAGTTTTCCCTTAAGACTGTCTGCAGCATCCACCTGTCCATCGGTGTCTGTACATTTAAAGACAGACACATGCGCAACGATGGCAGGAAGTGTTTCCAGGCAGAGGCATGCTGCAGTTCGAATGTCAACAATGAGTCTGGTATCCCCTCCCATCTGACTCTCCTTTGGACACGTTGCCAAGGGGGACCGGTCCCTGGAGAAGGGCATCATGCTGGGTAAATAAAGCAGAGTCAGCCAAAAAGAAAGCCCCTCAAAAGGATGGACTGACCCAGTGGCTGCAACAATGGGCTTGAACAGAGCAACCAAGGTGAAGATGGGCGCGGGACCAGGCAGTGTTGTTGTTTTTCCTGTTGTGCATGGGGTTTGCTGAGTCGAAGCAGACTCCAGGGCACCTCGACAACAATCTGACTAAACTCCAGAACCCGCTGTTAAAGTTGTCTTTAACACGCTCCTCTGGCCTAGTGATGTCAAACAGCCCTCATCTTCTGAATCTCTTTCAGGCTCTGGGATCGGACTGGGCTCAGCTGGGCGGTTCTTCCTTGGGGTCACTCATGCCCTTGCACTCAGTAGATGGCTGGGGCTGGAATCCTTTCAAAGGCTTTCTCATCCACGTGCCCATTGGGGTTGTCATTTGGGCACAGAATGGTTAGGGTTCCTTGCTCAACAGTTATGAAGGATTTCATGACGGCGAGCGAGAGCACAGACCAAGCATGAGTAGCATCAACTTATTCATCAGCCCTGCTGAGCTTGGACGTGACTACACAGGTCACATCCCCTGCAGCCAGTCCTACCAGGGTCCTCAACGAGAAGTGCAGCCAAAACACCCACACATGGCCATTCCGGGTACCCTGGGCTCCCTCTCAACATGGCGGCTGCTCCCCACCCCGAGACAGAGCAGAGAGATGGAACAGATGGGACAATCGCAGGTATGCGGTGCATCGCGTCTCCTGAAGAACTCGGAAGCCCCTCCGCTTTACTTCCTCCGCATTCTATTTGTTATGAAGAGTGAATGGCTAAGGGTCCCCATTCCTGGGGAGGGGAATCCAACACCGCTTCTAGGGGTCCGTCTGAGGTGGAACCAATGCCATGGCAGCGAGCTTGGGTTTGTTGCGTTTTCTAAGGAGTCCTGGCGGTGTGGCAGGCTACACACTCAGATGCTAAGCACAAGGTCAGCGTTTCAAACCACCGACTGCACCACAGGAGAGAAACAAGGCTCTTCATTCTTGTAAAGATTTAAAGTCCAAGAATCCCGTGAGGGCAGTCCTAATCTGTCCTATAGGTTTGCTATAAGCCCGGTTTTCAGTTTTCTTGAGGGAAGAAGTGTCAGAGGACTGGACGATCCTCTTTCAAAGCAGCACATGGGCCCAAGGATGTCAATGGGCTCCTGAGCCATTACTTGTTTCGACAATGTGCTTTCCAGGGTGGGGCGATTTCTAACCCAGATGTCTTCCTGGGTGACTACGGACACCTTACTTCTCAGTGGGCCTCACTTCCCCAGCTATACAATGGGGATCATGTCCACTTTCTGATAGCTATAAGGATTATGTGGAACAGCAGACAGAAAGCTGCCGGGCTGCATCAGGGCCAGGGGTGCGTGTTCCACCTGCATCAGGTAGCGGGGGCCCTCTGGTCTTACCATGTTCCCTGCCCATCCCTACGCCCTCTCTGTGTTTCCCCCATGGCAGGATTTCAGAACCAAGATGCGTGGCATTTACGGGCATTACGACACTCGGCCGCTCACCGACACTAACACCTCATCCTCTCTTCCATGGGCTCGCACCAGCCAGGTGAGCATGAGGTGAAGTGTGGGGACAGGGGAGGGGAGGAAGGTGCCAGACCTGTGACAGAGTGAAGTGACAAAAGGAGGCTGATCACAGTCACCCCAGAGAGCAGAGCAGAGGCGGCTGGGAAGGAGGCGCTGCTGGGAGTGGGAAGGCTGTTCTCGAGTCTGACCTGGACTCTACTTTGACTGGAGACCAAGAAAACCACTTCATCCAGGCTGCACCTAACCACACAAATGCCCTGCCTGGGCCGCCGCGGGTCCTGGGAGCCCCCTAGTGTCCATCCTAAGTGTTGCCACTTGAGAAATCACTCAACTCCACCCAAGGCACTGACTTTAAAACACAAAAAAGAAGAAAACTTGAAATAGGTTCGTAAAGAAAAACATTCTGCCATGGAGTCAGTTCTGACTCATGGAGACCCTGTAGCACAGAGGAGAGCTGTCCCTGTGGGTTTCTGAAGCTGTAAATCGTTACAGGAGCAGAAAGTCTCATCTTTGTCCTGCCAAGCAGCTGGTGGGTTTGAAACTCCCACCTTTTGGCTAGCAGCACAACATATAGCCTCCTATGCCACCAGGGAACCTTGAAATAGGCTCTAGATGGGTCCAATCCTGTGTGCCACCCAGGGGAGGCTGGTGGGGTTTTTTAGATTTTAATGAAGCAGTATGGAGATGTATATGGAGGGAGTCCTGGTGGATAGTGGCTATGTAATGGGCTGCTAACTTCAAGGTCAGCAGTTCAAATTCACCAGCTGCTCTGTGGGAGAAAGACAGGGTTTTCTGCTCCCATAAAGAGTTACAGTCTTGGAAATCCACAGGGGGAGTTCTACCCAGTCCTACAGGGTCATTATGAGTTGGCATTGACTTAGTGGCATTGAATTTAAGTTTGGGTTTGGAGGTGTATCTGCTGCATGTTATGTTGCAAGCCCAGCAAGGCCTGGGGACATCTATCATTGGGCGCAGTTTTATCTCTGCAGAGAAATGTCTGAGTATTCAACCAAGTGAGAGACAGTGAGTGCACGCCCAGCCCCTCTGTGTGTGTGTGTGTGTGTGTGCGCGTGCGCGAGTTGGGGGAGGCAAGGGTCTTGTGCCTTTCTAATTTCCTCAAAAAAATGCCAAGAAAGGGTGATACTCACCTCCTAAGCCTAAACCCTGGGCCCAAGCCCTCCTGCCACCCCCCAACCCCAGCTATGTGGCTTTGGGAAGGCATAATTCTCGGGTTCTCTGCGTACAGTTCTGAGACCTTGGGGACATTCATGGAGTTGTGCCCCATTCTCACACCCCTCTTCTGAGTTGCTCCTCCCCCAAAAACACACTGGCTGCCCCCGAAGCTTCCTATCTAATCTTCAATGGCTGCTGCCCATTGACCTCATTGAGAGGAAGCTGGAAAGAGAGCCAGGCTCAAGGCAGACCCCAAACTCCAAACTCACTGCCACCGAGTTGATGCCAACTCATAGCACCCCCATAGGACAGGCTAGAGCCCATAGCACCCCTGTAGGTTTCTGAGACTCTTTACTAGAGTACAAAGCCTCATCTTTCTCTCCCAGATCAGCTGGTGGTTTCAAACTGCTGACCTTGCAGTCAGCAGCCTAAACATTCTTTCCTAATTAGGCTAAAAGATTGTTTGGTTTTAAGAAAACGTTGGGGTGTACTTTTGGTTGAAGGCCTGAAATTTATCTCAGGACAACTCTTCTTAATATTCTTGAATATTACATTATATGATATGTGAAAAAACAGGTTTGAAATAAATGGTGAGCAAATATCAACAAATGAATCTCTTTGATTAAAAAAAAAAAAAAGGATGACGCTAGGGCAATAGTTTTGGGTGTTCATCCAGCCTCAGGGCTCCAGAAAGTCTGGACTCCAGGAGAATGTGAAATTCCATTCTGCCTTTCCCCCCTTTGATTAGGATCTCCAATAGACTCGTTGGTTGAAAGGGGGTGGGGCACTTTGCAACCTCTCTGTGCCTGTTTCCTCACCTGCGAAATGGGGCTAACAACCCTCACCTCGGCGTGGGGTGGTGATGTCTGATGGACAAGCCGCGGTGAGGCACCGAGCGCCTGAAACTTGGTTCACACTCAGTGTGGTCCTGCCATTGCCAGCACTGAGGCTGCTGCTCTTTCTTAGAGTGCTCAGAACCCCAGCCCGAATCCAAGGAAAGATGAGGAGCCGAGTGAGGATGGCTCCGAGGGGGAGGACACGGTGGAGAACCCCCGGGAACAGGGGCAAGGACTCCACAAGTAGGAAAGACTGCTGCTCTGAGACAGTCGGAAGAACCGGATGGCTTGAAGTCAGATGTCCTCCACCTGTGGGGAGCGGGGTCTCTTCTGTGTAATCCTGGGTAAGTCCCATGTCCTTGAGGACAGTGCCGCTCACCTCACTGGCTGCTCTAGGGATCCCGTGTACCTCGCACTGTTTGGCACACAGTAGGTGCTCAATAAATGCAGTCTCAGCCAAAGTGTGTTCTGTCCCTTTTTTCTAGCTTAAGGCCCGGGGGCAAAGAAGGCAAAAGATTGAATAAAAAGCTGGGGGGGAAAAAGGCCCGTGGGCTGGCCCCTGTGTTCTGCCTGCATTAATACTGGAAGTCCCTGGTGGCACAAGCGGTTAAGCGCTCAGCTGCCAACTGTGAGGTTGCTGGTCAGAAACCACCCTGTAGGCAGGGGCCAGGCTGGGGTCCAATTAGAAAGGCTGTGGGCTGGGAAACCCTCAGGAGCAGAGGTCTGCTCTCTGCACGCAGGGTCACCAGGAGTTGGACTGGCAGCAGCTGGTTCCGCTACTTTTGTTGGTTTGTTTTAATGTCAGAAGCACTGGATTGATGCAAGGCCCCCTTTGGGACAAGGGACATGTTACAGAAGTCTACCATGCTGGGGCTGGGGATGGCAGGCGATGGAACAGGGGCAGGAGTCCCGGCTGTCTTTTAGGGACCTGGGGACACATTTGGAGGGCAGATTCCCAACACAGTGCTGCCTTCCTCTGACCACCACGCTGCTCCCCAGGACTGGATTCTCTACCACATGTAGACCTCGCAGTGAATGGAGGTCACACAGGGCCCCGGGGAGGCAGCAGGTTCTATATTCATAGGTTCCCAAACTTATTTGGCCTTCTGATCCCTTTTCAAGGGGGGACAAAATGTTTCCAAGAAGTCCACATCCACCGGCAGCTAACCTGTAGCCCATCACCCAGGACCAAGTGTAGGCCCTGCTTTTGCAGCAGCCGCCCCACCCCCACCAGTTCAGCACCTCCCAGGGGTGGTATCATCTACTCTGGGAAACACTAGGCCATAGCAATCTTGTGCCACTTGTTCCCCATGCCCCTAAATGGATCATAGCAGTTCTAAGATGGGGAACACCTCCTTAATGCCAAGCTCGCCAGGGTCCCTCGGATGAAGAGCAGACACGTCTCCTTGTACCGACTTCCCAGGCTGCCGCCAGACTTTCTATCTGGGGGCCTGCTCTGCCTTCAGAGACACCTTTGTGGGGCTGCAGCGTTAGAAACTGGGGTCACTGAAGACCTCCCTCCGGCGAGAGTCCTGAATGGCAGCCATTCAGGCTCACTGGTGGCAAAGGCTCACACCGGCACGAGCCCACGTGGGGGAGACACCCCTCTGATCCCCCAAAAGGGGTCTTGTCCAAAGCCACTGACATCACTGAGCAGCTGGTGGAGTGTGCAAGTCCTCAAGGCAGACCAAGACAAAAATGAGATGGCGTGACTTGTTTTTAAGTTGTTTTCGAAGAGAATTTATTTCCATTCCCCCTTCTGACAACCCAAGGTGCAATACATGCCCTTTTCCTCTTTCCTTCACAGGAAATAGCATCGACATTAGCACTGTCTTGAGATCCTCAGCTTCGGAACTGTCTCAACCTTAAAATAGAGTTAGTAGAGCATTGCCTAGCGGGGCACAGGTTACAGGAGTCTTGGGGTCTACCGCTGTCACTGACAGGCTTCTAAGCCACGAAGAAGGCCATACTGGGGTGTGACAATGACAAGTTAGACCCAAGCCAAACTCAGGTGGATGAGAAAACTGACGGTGCAGCCACCAAACACAAGGGAAACCTGCAGGGGCCACACGTACTGCTTGGGCAGCAGCAAGCCACTTCCTAAGGCGTTGACATACAGTCCATGGTGTTTGAATTCCCAGCCTTCTCCGGTGTGCCAGCATCTGACTCCCCTTTCTCAAGGTGTCCACCTGGAAGACTCCAGGGGGAGTACCCCAGCTGGGCTCACCCCCTCACTGCCACCCCCTCTCCCAACTGCTGAGCTGAGGACAAAGTTGTCATGGGCACAGGAGGGAATGTGACATGCCACAAGATGAGTGCCCATCCACACAAAGCCCTTTGTCTAACAGCGCCCTTGCTCCTGGCCTCCCGCTGGGGCTGTGACACGGCGCATGCTTCCTTTGTTTCCCATGAGGCCATTAGTCTCTCTCCCCCAATCTAGCTCCACACCAAGGGTGGCAGCAAGAGCCCCCATTCTAGTTCAAGTGCACAATCCCTCAGCCGGCTGCTCTAGAGGGGACCGGGGTCACCACACCCCCAGTCAATGAGTTAACTGCACAGGTGTCCTGAGGGAGGCAAGCAAACTTGGGGTGGGGGGCCTGCTCCCTGAAGGAAGTGATGGGGCTTCTCTTTCCCAGTAACAGCAACTGCAGGAGCTGGAAAGGAGCCCCCAGGCTCGGTCCAGCCACACATCTGTCATTAGGTCCACCGTGTTTATAAGTCAGACTGTCAGGTACGGCTCAATACCAATGTCAGTTAGTGAAACGTCTGTATCAGGACATACACGGGGGCTTCAAAAAAGTCCATGATCCTTAACACATTTCCCCACAAACTTTTTGAAGTCCCCTTGCATATAGTGTGTACCTTCCTATGAATGAAATATATCAAAGCAACACTCCCAGAATCATTAAAACATCTTTGACATAACGACTTGCTAAAAACTACTGTGTGTTAGCTGTGCTAGTGTGTCACCCTGGGGCGGTTATGATAATGTGAAAATCACCAACTGCAAAAGTCACCTGATTTTAAAAGCCCCACTGGGACACACATACACATGCACATACACACAAACACATACATACACATATATACACACACACAACCAAAACCCACTGTCACCAAGTAGCAATCTATATAGGGTTCCCCAGATTATAAATCTTTACAGGATCAGACGCCCTCATCTTTGTCCATGGAAGGACTGCTGGGTTTGAACTGCTAAACTCATGGCTAGCATCTCAGTGCCTAACCTATCACCAGGGGTCAAAGTGAGCCCCTTGAGCACTTCAGTCCCCTCACACCTGGGGGTTAGCAGGGTCCCTGTTCTGAGCACTCATCCTCATCCTTCTTCAGAGCCCACACAGACTGGCAAGTGGGGGACCTCAGAACACAAGCCAGCCACCAGACACAGGAGAGGTACCGAATGTTCACTGGGGTAAGCAGCCTGGAAATTCTCACCCCTGGAGGGGAATTAGCCTCTTCCTCTTCCCACCACAGTAAGTAGAATGTCCACAAGGGCCCACAGCAAGGAAGGCTGGGTGTGTCTACCTAAAGCCGCACAGGGTTGGGCAACTTGTAGCTGTTCTAGTCCAAGGGGAATTATTTGCCCTTCGCTGTAAACTCCGCTGCAGGCTTTTCAAGTGGAGCATGCTCTGAGATTCATAAAAATTAATAAGCAATTTACAAGACTCTGGTATGCAAGATGGCTGAGTCATAAGACAAAGAACTGAATGGTTGAGTGGGAGAGGGAAACTCGAGGGGTCTCTAGAGATGCCCCTGCTTCAGGCCACCTACCTGTCCTCAAGCAGGCCTCCGTCCCCTCCTACAAAGGGTATCCCTCCCTGCTCCCTTCTGGAGCTCTACCTGTTTTAATTCTTTTTTCCCCAGTGCCGCCTTGCTCTGGGCAAACCTGTCCTGTGCTGGCTGCCCAGTTATCAGAAGTCTGAGTGACTCTGGTTGTGAGCAAGCAAATCGTTCAGCTCGCCGGGAAGGCAGGCTGTGGCTCCTGGCTCCCAGTTTGTGCTTTTGGGAACCAGCTTAGACCAGGACCTCTGCAAACTCCCTGAAGGGTGGGAGCTGGGAGCTGGAATGCTGGACGCGTAGTGTGATAATGCAGATCATGTGACACTGTCCCTGGGCTATTGCATGTGACTGTGTGAATGACTCCCCCACAGTTACAGACACAGGGACCTTGGTTTCAACTGAAAGAGTGGAGAGGGGCAGAAGGCAAGGCTGAGTGGGCCTGGGGTGGGTGCCTCTATTGGGGCCGCTGCCAGGCCACACCCAGGGTGTGCTCCTTGGATCACCTTGACCATCCCAGATTTTATCTGGGGACAGGATGCAGGAGCAGGGCCCCTGTTATACACACACACACACACACACACACACACACACACACACACACACAGCAGATGCAGTTTCCCCTAATTAAACATTTATCAATATTGCTAAAGCCATCACAAAGACTGAGAACATACAAACCCGATCTCAACACTGCACTGCTTTTAGAGCAGGACATTTCTGGGAGAATTCACTGAATTAGGCTCACTAGGACACCCACAGCCCAGAAGAAGGTCAGCCAATGAGAAATCTGAGCTGCTGCCCTAAGACAGGCATTACAGCTACTGGCCTGAGATGCCACCAGCCACAACTGGACAGCCTTCTTCCTGAACCGTGGCTCCCCTGCATTCGCCCTTCTGGCTGTGGTCTTGTACCTCCCACGATGCCTGGGTGAGGCCATGCAAGCAGATGTAAGGAAGCCTAGCAAGGAGGTTGGTTAGTTTGCCATCCCACTGGGCTTAAAATTCCAGAGCAGAAGGGGGGCCTCACTACCACGTGCAAGAAGAGATGGGAACAAAGAGAACCTCCTTGACCCAGAGCGAGAGCAAGCAAGTGAGCAAGAGTACTATAACACTAGAGAGGCAGCAAGACAGAGAGAAGCAGCAGCAGGGACAGGCGGCTGCAGAACCAGGAGGCTGGTGAGAGGGAGGCGGCTGCAGTGAGAGAGCTGACAGCACTTGGCAGAGCAAGAGCCTTACTGACTGAATAGGGTGCCTCCCAATGGCATCACAAGGTTGGTGGCGCTGGGTAACTCGTGGTGTCACTCCCCATGTGGACCTCCTCTGTATCCGACCACACAGAGTCCTTAGTGGTTTCTTTTATGCCAGTGTCCTTATAAATCGCAATTGCAATATATCACTAAATATACAGGCAATCGTAGTGACATAAACTAGCAAATGTTAAATGACACCTTTAAGTTATAATCGCATACACACAGCCTAAAGGTGTTTGCATGTACATGGTTTCAAGTGGTTATAGTAAAACTTTGGTAAGAAAACAACAGAATTCAAAGTAAAAAAAAAAGTTTAAGAATCACACCAAAATCACATTCATTCCAGTGTTAAACTTTATCATTACATGAGCTATGTTCATTGATTAGGTCTGCATAATTAATCATGTGCCAAATAATTTAGTGATGCGTTTAAATAAATTTTAAAAGACTAAACTTTGTTTAATTTTTTAAAAATTTAAGTTATATTTCTAAGCATGCAAAAAAAAAAGGATAGCGTTTTCCAATGTCATGTTTTAAACTATCAATTTCTCTACTTACTTGTGGAAGCGTTATGTACTAGACATGTAAGTTTATCATCAATTATAATCACAGAATACTATGTGACTTTACCATTGAAAATGGCTTAAATGTAACATTCCTTAGATGATGTGAACAGTAACAGCAAAATTGGTCTACACTAAATCATAATGTGGTGAATCACAATATCATTAGTGACTGAGCGGAAGCCTTTTTTCTGTTCTTCCTTTAATGACTACTTCATTCTCATAAAAGCTATTGATAGAGGCTCACAAATACTACTTACCACAATGTCGTAGCTAAAACACCAGACAATTTGACAAAATCAGTGCCCATTAAAACGCCGGCAGCAACAAAAACAACAGCATGTGCTGGTAGTGCATGCAGAGAAACCCCCAAGTCCAAGTGTCACTGTAATTGGTGATAAGACAGCTCAGACAGGAAGGAGTTCATGGCCCACTGCCGGCAGATGGAGTCCAGCAGAAGGTTTGAAAGGTAGATTAGCATCTAGTGTTAGCCTTATAGACAGAAATACTGATACATGTAAGCTGGGCCTATGAGAAATATTTTTGTTGTTATAACTAACTACAGGTATATTTTTATAGGAATAATAAATTCTGCTAAAGCACTGCACACGCGTTTCATAGACAGTCCTTTTGGTGTCACTCGCTCTGACAGTGTCACTCAGCGTGGCCTGCACTCCCCACATCCCCTGTGCTGTTGCTGGGGCCTTTGTACTTACTGACGGAGTTGAAGCACTTTGGAACGTTGGCCAGAGCAGGGCAGAGGCTAGACTGAGAGGACAAGGGACCAAGAGGACTGCCTATGGGCACAACTGAAAAGAAACTGGCCTATAGAAGAATTGTATCCTGAGTCATTCCATTCCTGAATTGTAACCTGTTACATCCCTAATAAACCCCATAACTATGAGTATGGTATGTGTTCTGGATGACCATTGCAGCACGCTATCAAAAGTGCTATGGGAGACCTAGCTGATGTCAGAACTGACAAAAAGGTTAGGAAGAGAAGGTATGGCCTGACCTTTGCCTCATTGGAACCTTTGTGAAGGTCAATGAGGCCAGATGCCCCTGGCTGTCATGCTTACACCAGCACTGGGTCTGAAGTTCCTGCCTTCAGAGAACATGCTGTGTGTTAACCTACAGGACTGCACCCCTGCACATATACATGGAAGTGACATCTCTGCCACCATGACCACAGAGCTAAGAGTTTCTGGAGTCTCTCTGCTCACCCACATCTCTTCTCTGGGGAACCCACAGTGACGACACAAGGGATCAGGGGGGAGAGGCAAGCTGTCAACCTTCTAGGAAGGCCATGTCCTCCGTGACAGTGACCAAAGGCACTCCCAAAGGGGAGAAAGGGGAGTGGGGACAAATGAGATTGTTGCTCTACTCTCAATGGCTATTTCAGGAGGCTTCTATGGACAAGCAAGAACAGAGGCTCAGAGCACATTTGAAGGCCAGATATTGCCTTAAAGTGCTCGGAAAAGCCAGAAGTCAAAGCTGTGCGTCCTCCCACAGGCTGCCTGGTCCTGGTTCCAATAAGCCCCAGGAACTGTGGGCTTCCTGACACCTCTGGACAGGCCTCCAAATCTAATCTTCCCTCCAGAACCCAGAACACAAGTAAAACTCTTATATCGACAAAAGGACAAATCTTTGGGGGCATGTTTAAGTCATAATGCATTTTAGTAACTCATTTGCGCATGAGGCCAAGGCATTGGAGGCTTTGTCAGAGTCTGGCCAACACATGGTTGCTGAGAACGGTGGTCAGCATGGGCCACTGGGCTATCAGGCATCGGGGATGGTTAAGTGTGTTATCTGAAGGAAGCTTGGAAGCTGTCAGCTGGTGCCTAGCTATCACTTACCATTGCTTCTCTAACACCCATTCAGTGGATTCATCAGGATTTGGGGGGCTGACTATTGGGGGTTCCATCCTCAGCCCCCCCTGTAAGATGCTCAATGTGTCAGCAGGGAGGCTGATACACACACACACACACACACACACACACACACACACACACACACACACACACACCTTACCAGCCAAGCCCACCCCTGTCCTCCAGGCAGGCTATACTACACATGTGCACTCAGATCAGCCCTCTGTCTAGTTGCTAGATGCCCAAAATGTATCTCGATGTGCCAGCGCCATGTGCCCACTAATCACACTGGGTATGGGGAGGTTACATACATGTTCACAGGTGAAACAGCTATTTAATATGATGGAGTGAGGAGAGGGAGGGAGAGAGAAGAGATCGCCCAGCGCCGACTCCAGTGTCAGAGGGGTACAGGGCAGCAGGCAGAGGACGTGCTGGGGCAGCACAGGCTGGGGAACTGGCGGGCCTGGTGCTGGTGGCCTGGATGTCAGCTTCACGGACCGGCAGATGTGGCTGGGACAAGCCCCAGGTGCTGAGATGAGGTGATGGAGGACACGAGTCACAGGGCTGGAGTGGAGTCTAGTGCTGACTTCCCAGTGAAGAGCCCCCAGCAATGCTCTGTCTCTTTCTGTCCCGTAACCCTGAGTATGGACGTCCTGTCCTCGTTGAAATGAAGAGCAGCACTGTCTGGTTTGGGAAGGGCACTGTCTTGCAGCTCCTAAGAAACGTCACTGTCCCGGGGCTTGCATGGGCTGGTAACAAACGCAGCTCCTCCGGGGGTACTGCTAGCTGTCCACGTGCATAGCCCATGCCGAGGCTGTGCCCTGATGGACCAGGCCACACTCTTGCTCCTTAGTCGCTCACTTGCTAGTTCACACCAAGGCTGAGTCGAGCTGGGTCCTGGTGCCGTGCTTCTCACAGCTCTTCTCTAAAATAGAAGGTGTTTTTCTCCTCCAGCTTCCTGTCCCCCAGGGAGAGAGCGAGTGCGGGCAAGCAGCAGTGGGTGAGGGGCCCACACCTGTGGGCAGAGGCTTCGGCCTCCCTGACCTGCATCCTGAGTGGCTGCCCAGCTCTGGCACAGTCTCCTGCAGCTGTGGGAGTCCAGCAGCTGCCCTCCTCACAAGAGGCTGATATTCAATAGTCACCTTGGTTTTAGCCTCAGAGTCCAGGGCTCCCTTGGCACAGAGACGGGGTGCAGGCACAGGTGGAGGAGAGAGGTGAGGAGGGCCACCAGGTTCTTCTAACAGCTGGTTCTAGGGCAGCGAGTGGCTCCGGGCGCTGCTAATGTCATGCAGGGTTATGGAGGGTGACAGCCAGTTGCTGGGCCGGGGAGCACAGCATGCACCCTCAGTCCTCCATGGTGGGGGCCAGGGGCAGCCTCCTAGGGCTACTCAGCGGCCATCTGCTCAATGTGGTCACTGAGCAGCTTGTACTGCTCTGGAAGAAAAGAGAGTGTTATTCTTGAAGGGCAAGCAGGGGCAGACTGGCCTGTTTGGCTCTCCTGACCAGAGACTATAGCCAAGCAGGGCCAGAGAAAGAGGGGGACATGCATAGGTGTTGCTCTCAGGCTGCTCCGCATGCATCACAGGCAGGGCTGAGCTGTAACGTGTGGGGAAACACAGAGCCACCAGTTACCAACACGACAGGGGTGGGCATGAACCAGAGCCCACTGGGATCCTGGGAAGCAAGACACCTGTTCGCACAGAGGTGAGGTCACAGAGCATGCTAGATTCGCAGTGATCCACTGCCATCAAGTCCATCTGACTCGACAGAGCAGAACTGCCCCCATGGCGTTTCTGAGGCTGAGAGTCTTTATGGAAGCAAATGGCCTCATTTTCCTCCCGTGGAGCCACTGGTGGGTTCGAACTGTCAACCTTTCAGTTAGCAGCCAAGTGTTCTAACCACTGTGCCCAAGGGTTCCTCATTAGCCATCAGGGAGATGCACATCAGACTTCAAGGAGAGACTGCACATCTCCCACTAGAATGACAATGACAAGAATTGAAGGCAGCATAAAGCCACAGGTGCTGGCGAGGCTGTGGGGAAACAGACCCCAGAGGGAGAGGGTTTCTCAAAAAGATGAACACAGAACAACTGCCGATGAGCAGCCACCACCTGCCTTGATGCACAACAGAAGACGTGAAGGCAGGGACGCAGACAGGAACAGGCACACCTTGTTCACTGCGGCATGTTCACAACAGCCAGAGGTGGGAACCACAGATATGCCCATTGCCCGATAAGGATAAATGCCACTGGGTCCTCACACACAATGGACCCCACACAGCCACGGAGAGAAGCAAAGTCCCTACACACCCTGGCACCATGGTGCTGGGGAAAATCATCCAGTCGCTAAAGGAAATAGTGCTTGACTTCATGTGTATGCAATAAGCCAAGGAATTTGAGAGGGTGAGCAGGCGCTGGAGGGAGGGGCGGGGACGCTTGGGGGGTGGGGGTGGGGGTGGAATCGCTCGGGGAAAGGAGAATGAGAGGCTGCACAACATGAAGAATTCCGCTGGGAGATTGCATATATTTCCACCACAATTTAGAGGGCGGAGGTGGGAGAAACCCTACGTATAGAGCACAGTTCTTCCTGGCACATCGGGGTGGTTGTGGGTCAGGCTGAAGGGGCAGCTGGAGTGGCCTTGCAGTCCTGCACACAAAGCTGGCTTCTGTGGGTTTGGGAAGCTGACCAGCAACAACCATCCGGGGCAGAGCCCACTTCCCTTAGGCCTGGCTTGGACATGCTGAGGGAGCAAGCCCCGCCAGCCCACACTCGGCAATAGTACCTAGCAGGAATGGTGTCCCAAATAGAATTCGATGTGTCACAAGTGTTTCAGTAGGAAATAGAGGCATCCTCAGGTGGTGCAAATGGTTACGGTGCTCTGCTGCTAACCAAAATGTTGGAAATTCGTGTCCACCCAGACATGCCTAGGTAGAAAGGCCTGGGAATCTATTTCCAAAAGACCAGCCGCTGGAAGCCTACGCTGCACACACATGGGGTGACCTACTCTGACACACGTGAAGTTGCTCCACGTATTGACTCAACAGAGCAGCGTAGGGCACTCTAGTGTGTAGAATACCTGTCCCCACATTGCAGCCCATCTGCCTCTGCCCTCGGACCTCGGAGGTCCCTGGGCTGCTAGTAGCGCCCCTGTTCTTACCTTCGTCCAGGTTTCCAATCACAGCCTGCTTCTTCAGGAAGTCATTGCACAGCTTCTTGTTGAGGCCAAACGCCAGCATGTTGTGCGTGAATGTGCTGCGGAGGAAACGCCCGTGAGCTGGGCCCACCTGCCACCGGGCAGGGGCCCTTTCCTCTAGGGCAAAATTGTTAGCAACAAATAAAAATAAATCGTTACCTAATTAGCCAGCTGGCAGCTCTCAGGGAGACCCCACCCACCAGTGCTATGCTAGGAGGCTGCATTAATTAGAAGCTGGAATTGAGACCAAATGTAATGAATGCTTCTGAGCAATTTCAGAATACACCTGTCATGACTGCCGGCATGGTGTCACCAAGGGGCGCTGACACAGGAAGGTTGATGTCCTCAAGGGTCCTGTGCCACAAAGGCAGGTGGAGGATGGGTGGCCCACTCCCCAGGGCCTGTGTGTGTGCGCCACACTTGAAATTCCTCAGGTGACCACAAACGTAGGCAAGGATCTCAGGGTCTCAGTGCTGCCTGCCAGAATTCTAACTCTAACAGGATATCTGGGAATGAGTCTCAGGGGGGGCCAGGGGGTGGGGGATGTGAGGTAGGGGCTGGGGCTTGCAAGGGACAGAGGGCAGGGGGTGTGAGGAAGGAGGGTAGTGGTGGGACTGCCAGAGTAGGAAGCTGGGCCTGCAGAGGATGGAGGGCGGGCATAGGGATGGAAGGGCAGGGCCTTGGGGAGGGGCAGAGCTGTGATGGGCGTGGCCTGGGGGAAGGAGGTGGGCCTGCCCTTACCCCAGCTGTCCAAAGGTGATATTCTCGTTGAACCGCAGGCTGTCGTCCCGCTCCTCCTGGGTCATGTGGCACCACTTCTCCCTGCAGGCACAGGAGCGACAGGGCAGAGCGTTCGTGTCATGCCACGTGTGCCCACCACTCAACCCTGCTGGCCAGAAGGGGGGCGGAGCCTCGGAACCATGCCAAGTTCACTGTCTCTTAACACAGAGTTGCCAGAACCCATCACACACTTGGCCCCAAGGGCGCACATTCAACTTCCTTCTTTCTGTGAGCGGAGACCCAACCGCTGACACATTTGCCACTGCCCTGGCCAGATGTGTACCCAGTGTCTTGGAAACACCACCACAGGCTGGCATTTCCCGCGGCTTAAAGGCTAGTCATGGCCCGTGCACAGTGGTGGGCACAGTCAGGGGTGGGGGACCTCGAGAAGGCGCTCAGCCCTGCACCTGCACATCCAGACCACACTAGTTCTGCACCTCCTGGTGTGTGCTAACTGTGATGGCACAGTCATGTCACCTGCTGTGATGGGGAGCAGGGAGTCAGCGGAGTGGGGGTGCGGGCTTGACAGAGCCTTCCCCTGGGAGGCCAGCCATCTACCTTGGACTCCAACTTGGCCCCAGCCACTCTCCACTGAGCCTCTCTGCATGTCACTCCGGGATGATTATTGTAGAATGAGTGCTGGACCCCAGGGAGAAAGGCCTGGGCAGTGGACACCCATGGTTACAGGCTCTACAGGGAGACTCTTTGAAGAACTCTCTGATTGGAGCGCTGTTTGCCTGTCGTGGGGAGATGCTGAAGGGCAGAGGATGGGGAGGGGGACAGTGCTGGGTGGGTAGGCACGCTTTATGGACTGAGCAGTGTGAATTCTCAGGGGGCCCTGAGGGTCAGTGTTCACTGCAGGGCCCAGACAAGATGCAGGCTTTTCCACACTCCACCTGGGCAGAGCACTGTGGCTCACTCCCTCCTGCCCCCACCTTCCACCCCCAGGTGTTATGACAAGGCCCTTCCCCACTGTCTCTGTAGGAGCACAGCGGCACTGCAGTTCCTCCCAAGCCATGTCCCTCTAGAAAAAAACTTGGGGTGGGGGAAGTTGGCTGAAAAATGGGGAGCGAAGAGGAAAGAGAAGAGAAGAGTGTGAGGGAGCGAAGGGCTGGGGGTGGAGACGCTAGAGGAAAGGAAACCAAATGAAGAACACTGCTTCTCCACACAGTTCCACCTTCTGCCTGCAGGGTGCTCCTGGGGAGGCTGCAGCTAGCAGGGACCACAGGGGAGGAGGGGTGAGCAGTGGGTGGCCCTGCTGGAGTCTTGACAAGGACATGATGACACACTACAGTTCCCGGGCCAGACTGCCAGAGGCTTTGCTAAGCCCCTTCTCGCGTCCCCTCAGGCCACCCTAGGGCTTTGCAGGCACACAGCTTCCTGCATGTCCACACACCACCTCCAACCACACACTGGGCAGCAGCCCCCAACTGGGCAGTATCCTGGCCCTACCCCACTTGCCCTGTGAGGAAATGGTTCTCTTCAGCTCTGTCAGACATTTGCCCTGACCTGTGCAGAAAGCCATTAGCAATAAGCCTGCAGTCCCATCAGCTCCTCACACTAGCGTTTGGCTGATGCCGCCCGCAGAGTGAGCCGGATGGGCACAGGGGGAATGCTCAGCAGTTGGCTGACATGGAGCCATCTCCTGAGTGATACGTGAGTGTCGCAGGTTGTTTCCCAAAAGAGAAATCATGTTGGAGCCGCCCACTGGCCTGGGGACTTAGGTTCACTCTCCTCCCCACCCTCACCTAGCTGACATGGAAGGAGCATGGCCCTCTCCTTGGGTGAGGCTGGGGGCACTGTCAGAGACTAGAGACTGCAGGGACCCTCTGCTCTTGGGAGAGGAGGCCTGGCACACCAAGAGGGCTGACTGTCCCCCAGCTGGGCTCAGCTGACTGTCCCCCAATGCCCCCTCCTGGCAGTAGCCCAGAAGACAGTGATTTTCCTTTGGGTCCAGGCTAGCCTGGCTCCTGGGAAACCCACCAGTTAACCCCCAAATCACCAGGTCGACTGTGGGGTATTGATTATACCTAAGGAGCCTTAGTGGTGTAGTGGTTATTCATTGGGCTGTGATCCCTGTGGTCAGCAGTTCAAAACCACCACCAACTCCTCGGGAGAAAGACTGGGCTTTCTACTCTCATGGACCATTACAGTCTCAGAAACCCCACAGGGTGTCACATGTCAGTGAGAAGGATTATACCTATGGTGGTGCTGTGGGTTAGGCACTGGGAGGTACTAAAATCAGCAGTTCAAGTCCACCAGCTACTCTGAGGAAAAAATACAAGGCTCCCTGCTCCTGTGAAGATTCACAGTTTCAGAAACCCTATGCAGGGTTTACTGTTTACCAGAATCTACTTGATGGGTCTGGTTTTACACTAAGTGTTCCCGTTAAGCACATGGCCTTTGTAGGTTGCCTATGCAGGGATAAGCACTACAAATCCCTCAGTAACCACAGGAGGCAGGCAGCAGGAGATTTGCACGGAAATTGTGTTCGAAAGTATCATCTGCCTCGGCAAGTCTTTAATGCTGAAAGAGCTCTGGCAGTGCCAAGGTGAAAGCACTGGGCTGCTCAACAAAAGGCCAGCTGCTTGAACCAGTTGCTCTGAGTGGGAAAGATCCAGCCTTCAGGTTCCTCCACAATCCACAGGCTCCGTCACCCAGGGCAGTTCTACTCTGTCCTTCAAGAAGCTACACGCTTTCAACCAGAAGGTTTGATTTGGTTTGGGTTTAACTCTAAAAATATCCTTACAAAGGACACAACCCAAACCCAGCTTCGCCCATTAGAAAGTTAAGCTTAGATTCTCTAACAACAGTGGAGGGTGATGTCTTCCCCCACTGGGCTGATGGGGTGGGTGCATCGCTGTGCCCTTGGAACAACAGACACCTGTGACGGTGGAGCCACGGGTGCCCACGTCCATGGCACCACAGACCATCAGTTCTCAACCTGTAGGTTGTGACCCCTCTGGGGGTCGAACGACCCTTTCACAGGTGTCACCTAAGACCATCGGAAAACCATAGGAACCAAGACACTGCTTGTCTCCAGGCAGGTCTGCCCACGTGCAGATATGCTGATCTGGTGAGAAAGAAGCTATCTCAACCTTTGCATTGACATTGGCTTTTTACTCATATTGTCGCAAAATGTAGCAATGTAGTTTACTGTTGTTATATTAAGACTGTTACCCATGCTACACCATGCTTCAAGGCAAAATTTCATTTATTTGTAATTAGAAATAAATATTTCACTATATATAATTACATATTGTTTTTGTGATTCAGCACTATGCTTTAATTATGTTCAGTTTGTAACAATGAAAATACATCCGGCACATCAGATATTTACATTATGATTCATAGCAATAGCACAAGACAATTATGAAGTAGCAACAAAAATACTTTTATGGTTGGGGGTCACCACAACATAAGGAACTGTATTAAAAGATCTCGGCATTAGGAAGGTTGAGAACCACTGCCTTAGACAGAGAGAAGCCACCTCTTTTATTAACAACAAGGGTGGTGGGCTGGCACCTGCCCACTAATTGGATCAGACCCGGAAGTACTTAGCCAAGATTTGCTGTGGACAGTTTTCGCATCTGTGAGCAGTGGTCTCGGGCAGGCCATGGAGGGACTGGGTACAGGTGTAGGTAAGGGGGAGAAGAGAGAAAATCCGACTTCTTTTCCGTCTCCTTTGTTCTCTTGTGCCTGATCCTTAGCTGTACACATGAGGTCTCCTAATACACTGGGCTCGCAGTCAGCCCTGCATTCTGGCCACCTCTGTGACCCAAACGTGGTCTACAGCATTTCCACATGATTCTAAAGTCCCACTCTCAGAACATCCCCCTTTGGGTTATAGGAAACAACTCTATTCTAGGGCCTCGTCTTGAAAAGGACGCCTCATAAATCCCACATCACCATGGCCCATCTCCCCATCACAGCAACTCCCCTGATCCAGCGAGAGGTCATGGCAGGGTGGCAGGACCCCATGCAGGATGGGAGTGGCTGCTGAGGGCCTGGCTCTAACGGAAGCAGACCCCACTACCATGCTGTCTCCCACTTATTAGACCCCCAGGCATCATCAGTCATTTCTATTTCTGGGTGCCCCGGCCTTGGGGCACACCAGCCACTGCAGTGGCTTCCCACACTGCCCCCACCCTCTGTGGCCCTCGAGTGACCCCCACAGTACGGTGAAATGGAACAAAGTCAAGGGGACACCACACACCTCTTCTCCTCCTCCTCTCCAGCCTTCCCTCTGGAGCGGCAGCAGAAACAGGTAAACAAAGAACAGGTCAAAGTCATGCTGATATGTGGATGGAAAGAGAACAGGCAGAGGACCAGAGCTTCCAGGGGCTGGAGAGAGGGTTGTGAGGCGAGAGCTCCTAGGGGGCAGGGGCACAGGATCTCAAGCCAGCCCCCTTTCCAGAGACGCGAGCACCGACCCACCAGAGCACAGAAGCATGTCCGGCCTGTTTCTGTCCCACGTGTGCACCATCCTCTCCTGAGGCCTCCGGGACAGAGTCTCAGAGTCCTGCCCATCCCGATGCCTCATCTCCTGTCCCCCAAAAGACAGAATTTCCTTAAGGCACTCCCTCCCAAATGGCGGGTCCTGCGGTTGTTATGCTAAAGGCAGCCACAGCCTTTCTCTCTTGCATGGAGAGGAGGAGCTTTATTTCACCTCTGGGCAAACTGAGCCTCAGCAAAGCCACATGGCAGGCAGGACCAAGGAGGGGGCCCAGAATGGCCTTACCCAGGCTGACTTTCCCCAGCAGGGGGCAGGCCGCTGACCCTTTCCTCATTGCCACTTGGCACACTCGGGGGTCAGAGAGAGCACCAGGCCCGGCCCCGTGGGCAATACCAATCCCTGCATCCTTGCCGCTGTGCACTTTCTGGAGAGGGTTTGCACGGGGTATTCTCCCATGGCCACATGACCCCTGAGGAGGCCACTGAGGTCAGCAAGAGCCTGAGAAAACTGAGAGCCAAGTCCAGGTGGCTGTCAGCACCCTGCTGCAGGTTCTGCCGCAGGGACCCTCAGACTGACTTCACCAGCTTGTATGCAGGGACGAGGCAGGGTGTAGGCTTTGGGGGTGTCCTGATGGCTTATGGGTGGGACTGTGCATTTTCCAGGACGGTCAGGCAAAGTCATGCCAGAGCACAGGACAGAAAGCGTACATGCAAGCAAGTCTCTCACTGGTTGAGCTGCACGCTCTGGGGCCCCCAGGCAGCTTGCATGGCACCAGGGCGAGGAGGGCCTGAGGGAAAGCAGAGCATGCCCCTTGGCTGGGCATTGACCCCCTCTTTAGAAACAGGACACTAGAGCACTCCATGATCCTCTTCCCTGAGGCTACCTACCTGGTAGTGGGAGAGCGCTTTCTCCTCTCACAGTGGACAGCATCGAAAAAGGCAGCATTCCAGAACCTCAGGGTGTGCCTACAAACAAGGACAGGAAAGACAGGAGCTCAGGCCTGTCTGCTCCCTGGGGCTCCAGCAGGGAGGGCCTAGCTGGATGGGAACATGTCACTCCCACTGAGAGAAGGAGTGAGCACAGGTGGGGTGACTGGGCTGGAAGTGGAGGGTTCTGTCTGTCCTGGTTCCCAGAGGAAGCAGACCTGCTTTTCCACAGCAGGCTTGCTGCTCCAAATTGGGCTGCCAGAGTCATGCTTGGTTCGCAGAGAACAAAGGCATTGACAAGGACACACAGGAAGGAAATGTCTTCTTAAAGATGAGGCAGCGGCAGGCTTCAGCCTGCAAGCCAAGTCTGGCATGCTGTGCTTCTACAAAAGGAACGTTTTCTGGGACACAGCCTGCATGCTCATGAACACATTGTTGGTGTAGCTTTGGGGCCCCTCCAGCAGAGTGGTTGTGACAGGGACCATATGGCCTGCCAAGCCTGAAAAATCTACTCTCGAGCTCTTTACAGAAAGTTCTTGGGCCCCTGTTCTGGTAGCTGAGCCAAGGGCCAGGGAAGCCGAGCTAAGTCATGGGAGTACAGATAGAGGTGGCTTCTTCTTCCTCCCTGCTTCTACTGGACCCTGACTCGATTGACTGCTGCCTCCTTCTCAGTGTTTGAATGGCAGTTCCTTGAATCCAGAAGTCCTCCTCACAGCCCTGCTCTGCTGTGGGTCTGTACAAGTACAGCTGGACTGGGGCCTGTGAGATGTGGACCAGGGCTGACAGGGGTTGGGACAGTGCGCTGGCTGTGGCTGTTAGGCGCTGTCAAGTCAGTTCCAATGCATAATGAGCCTATGTACAACAGAAGGAAAGTGCTGCCCAGTGTGTGCCAGGCTGGAAGTCATTGTGATCTTTGAGCCTGTTGCTGCAGCCATCGTGTCTGTCCCTCTTTGTCACTGCCCTTATGAGAAAACATGTTAAAATACAAGGAAGTGAAGCTTCAGAATCAGGAAGGCATCAGAAAGGACCCCTATGTGAGGCCGGGGTACAGGGCTCCCCTGACCACTGGCCTCACACTTCCACCACAACCTTTCCTGAGTGTCTTCCTTCAACAGGTCCGCTGTCTTGGAAACAGAAACACCGCCAGGGGCTAGCTTTCACAGACAGATGTGCATGTTCGCAGAAGGGGGGCACAGACAGAGGTGGCTTTGGAGGTCTGAATGCTGTGTCAGCCCTAGGGGAGGGTGATTTCTTCTCAGTGACTCTGGGGAAGGTCCTGGTCTCTGTCACGTGCTGCCTGAGAGAGCTCCATGCGGCTTCCCCAGCTCTGCTTCTTCCCAGTGCTTGTCTCAATACTTTTCTGTCTCAACAAGAGAGCCACTGAAGACATACCCGACGCTACTTCCCTCTCTTTTAGATCACGAGACAACCACTCCCAATGGGTTTATCGCCACCGGCCTGGAGGTAAGGATCTACAACATGTATTTTGAGGGGACACAATTAAATTCATATCGGTGAGTGACATAATGCTAGATCACAGACCATAATAATCACTCTTGTTAAGTGCTCACTTCAGGGCTTTTTGGTACATTCATAATGTTGTATAACCATCACCACTCTAATTCCAGAACATTTTCAGACCCCAAAGAAAAACCTCATGAACAATTATTCTTCAATTGACTGCCTCCACCCCCAGCCCCTGGCAGCCACTACCCTCCTTCCTGTCTCTACAGATGACGATGCTGAGTATCTCCTGTCACAGGAATCCCAGAGCATGTGGCCTTTCTGTCAGGCTGCTTTCACTGAAATAATGTTTTCAAGGTTTGTGGCTGCAAACACGTGGTAGCATGTATCAGCACTGATTCCTGTTTACAGCCAAATAATATTCCACCGTCTGAGTGTACATTGCTATTTATTCATCCATCACTTGATGGACACTTTGGTCGTTTCTACGTGTAGGCTGGCATAAAGAATGCTACTATGACAATCCGTGGGTACATTTTTGTGTGGACATATGTTTTGATATGTATATACCAAGCATGAGAGGGCTGGGCCATATGGTAACTCTGTATTGAGATTTTTGAATCTGTGTCAGACTTTTCCACAGCAGCTGCCGCATCTTACAATGCCGTCGGCAGTGGAGGAAGGGCTTAGTCTCCCCCAGCCTGTCAACAGTGCCATTGCCCGTCTATTTTCAGTCATCCTAGTGGGTACGGAAACTGTCCTTCTGATGGAAACAGAAGAGCTAGGACCCGAGTCTTCAGGGAAGAGGCCACTCCCTGGGGAAGGGGTCACAGGTAAGCTGGTGATGGAGAAGCCACAGGCCAGAGTTTACTTACCAAATGGGCTGCTGCTTCAGGTGCGTGTATAGGTAGATCTTCTCGCCCTTCTTCTCCTCTTCTGGGCTGTACACAGTCACTGTAGGAGGAGGGAGAAAGACATGCGCCCGGTTCACAAACCCCACGATAGCCATTTCTTCCTCCACAAATCAGAACAAAGGTCATTTTAAAACATCCTGGGTATCTGACTCGGCTCCTCTGCCCCATAAGCAGTAGTGACACTGCTCACAGACTGTCAGTGTTGACTGTTCCTTGCAGGGTGGGCCCGTGGGATAGCGAACTTCCCACCCCAGTACTGTTGGCTAGACAAGGGACTCCTCACAGAAACGAGGAGAGAAAACACAGGTCGCTGGCCCTAGAAAGCAACCCAGGAATCACCCAAGAGACACCCGTAGGCTGCAGAGGGCAGCACAGCCAGCAGTCCCAGCTTACTGCACACACACTGCTCTGACGGCAGGCTGGCCAAGGCCTTGATGACCAGGACTCAGCTGCTGTGGCTGCCCAGTGCATTGATGGGGAACCGTTCTTGGACCCTGGGAAAACACCGAAGGGACATTTGCTGGTGAGGATGCCACTTACCTGCCTTCTGTTGTTTCTCCTTGGGTTTGTTGTCATCTTCCCTGTGGGAGAGAAAGCATAGCATCGGCAAGTCTGACCCTTACCAGTGAACTCAGATGGCATGTCTTCAAGTCTGGGAGATGTTTCTGAAGTGGACTGTGTCTTAAAGGTATGTGTACACAAAACATGGCTTTCGTGGAAGTCTATAGCCAACCACTGCAACACCTGTCAGTGGCTAGTGTGTGGAATGCTGGGAGATGTGCGTCTGCACTTGGCTTGTGTGTTTTTACTTCTTGGCACCCCAACCTCTATTAGGTTACAATGCGGTGACATTAGCCACGTTCACCATGGGGTACAACCTTCACCACTGGCCAGCTGAAGCAGTAACTCCCCACTTCCCGGGCCCCCGCCCCCTGGCAGCCACTAACGTGACTTTGATCTCTCTGGAGATTTCATGGAAGTGGGACCAAACACTGTTGGTCTTTGGGTATCTGGGTTATTTCACTGGTCTTTGGGTATCTGGGTTATGTGTGAGCATCTTCAGGCCATCTTCTATAGCAGGTACAAGCTCATTCATCTGATCACAACCAAACCGTCGGTGGTACCTTGAGAGCCCAGCCCTTTGTGGCTGGCATACCCCCCACCCTCTGCGTGACCACCCCACAGAGGCTCCTGCAATTCCATCAGAGCCGTGCTCCTGGGGACAGGGGCCTTCTCTTGCTTCTTCACTCCACCGGCACCAGCTCTCAGCCCCGGTGGAGGAGGAAAACAGAGGGCGGGTTTGTGATTTCCCTCCTGCACCTGGCAGTCTCTGTATGCTCTTCTGATATCTGTCCAAGAGAAATGCCGACAATGCCACGGGGACCATCCCGGCCTGTGATCACACAGCATAGCATGAGGACCCAGTGAGGACTCGAGGGCAGAGAGCCTGCAGGGCTGACAGGTTCATCACTTGCGAGGGGACAGATTCTCTCCCTCACTCCACGTTCTCCTGTCATCCACCACACACAGGCTACAAAGAGGACAGATTCTCTGCCTCACTCCACAAGCTCCTGTCATCTATCCACGTACCGGCTGCAAAGGGACAGATTCTCTGCTTTATTCCATACTCTTCTGCACTCCACACTCTTGTCATTCACTACACGCAGCCTACAAAGGGCTCGGATTCTCCGCCTCACTCCACAGTCTCCTGTCATCCAGCACACACAGGCTGCAAAGGGGACAGATGCTCTACCGCACTCCACACTCTCCTGTCATTCGCCACACACAGAATACAAAGGGTTGGATTCTCCGCCTCACTCCACATTCTCCTGTCATCCACCACACGTGACTTCATCTGGCTTCTCTGTGCGTGTTATGCCAAGATTGCCCCCACAATGAGTCAGAGAGAATGCTTACTCGTTTCTCTTCCCCAGGGGGGCCTTCAGCTTGGTTTCCAACCCCCCAAAGAAGCCCTTGACGTTTTCGGTCTTGGCGGAGGTGTTCTTCAGGAGGCGCTCGGCAATGTCCTTCTTCTCTGCTAGCCAGCTGTTGGCAGATCTCAGGTAGGAGTCGATGCTCCCTGCAGGCTTCTCCCGGGACTCTGAGGGGAGCAGGTGGGGCTTCCCTTGAGAGAGAGAGGAGAGTGTGCTTGCAAAGCAGAAACAACAGATGGCAGAAAGGAAATGCTCATCCATGGACCCATGTGGCTTGGGGATTGGGGAGGGTGGGGAGAAACTCTCTCCAGGATCCTACTGTCCAAGATGGCTGGAAGCACCAGCATCGGTGGATGCATGTGAGAGCAACGAGGGTCAGGTGTCTTCCTCGGCTAAGAGCAATTGCTAGGTCCCTGCTGTGCACAGAGAAGTTGGCCAGGAGTTGGCAGTGAGGAGGGAGAGAAGAAGCAGAGGGAGCCCACCCGAGAGAAATACGTGGTCTGGGGAAGGTGAGGCAGGGTCATAAGAAGCCGGGACAGAAAAGGGGTGGTGCTATGTCTTGTCATAGAGATTACGTGTCCTCAGGAGACAGAAAGAAATATTATTTCCCTGGTGCCTGGGATGGTCCAAAAATAAGGTGGGAAGGTGGGGGCAACATTCTGGGCAGAGGGAGGCATATGAGTGAAGGCAGCACAAGGAATGTCCTTTTCTTCAGGCAGCATTCTTTATCTATAGGAGCCTGGATGGTGCACATTGGCTACTAACTGAAAGGTGAGTGGTTTGAACTCACTGGCTGCTTCCTGGGAGAACAATGTGGCAGTCTGCGTTTAGAAAGATTTACAGTCTGGGAAACCCGATGGTGATATTCTCCTCAGTGCTACGGGGTCACCAAGAGTAGGAAATGACTTGGTGACAATGGGTTTGAATGGGACATATGGGTCAAAGTGCCCTCTAGGGGTCAAGAAGACCTGTATGAGTCAAGGGGACAAAGTTGAAGCTGCTCTGCACATGAGCACCACAGAGGCACAAAAGGCCTGCTGGCCAGAGCACTATGGCCTGGGACTGAGGCAGCTAGGTAGCTGTGGCCTGCAGAGCTAAGGGTCACTGCTGGTGAGATGAGGATGGAGCTGGCTGACAGAGGGAAGGAGACATGGAAGCACGGAAGGGAAGTCAGTGCTCATTACTGCCTCACCCAGCTCTGGTCCCTGAGCTGCCCACAGCTATCTCGAGTCCTGAAAGCCTGTAGGAGATTGCTATTACCACCAACAAGCCTAACAGGGCAGCCTTGAGCTCCAGCGCCCCAGAAAGTTCTGGGGAGGAGACAAACAGATCTCATTGCCCCTTTAGCACAAACTTGGGAACTCATCCCACCTAAGATCCAAAGCTACTCCTCTCCCTTGCACATCCACAGTGCCCTGTGTGCTGTCTGTGGATAAAACAGACCATGGTTATCAGCCATGCAGGAACTCCTGCCTGCACCATGGAAGCACTACTAGCATGGTGCTGCTCTCCTTTCCTAAAAGCATAGTGACTTTCCTTGCACTGGGGAAAGCCAACTCCTCAACCCATAAGTGGACTATGTCTTCTCTCATTTTAAGGGCTTCGTTTTTGCTCCTTTGACCTTGCTAACATCCATGCCCTTAAGAAGCTCCACAGGCATTGCCTTTAACTGAGAAGGAAGTTTGAGGTACCTCCATACTCCCAGTTGGTAAGTCTCAGGCTTCCAAGCTGAGCCTCACTCTTACCGATGTGATAGTAGGTGAAGCACATGGTCATGAGGTTCTTGGCAGGCCCAAAGTCGTCCATCTGGTGACACCTGAAATGAGAAGCAAGGCCAATTGGCAAAAGAACCATTCTGCCAAGCTCCCTCACTGTGGGTTAATTGCACAAGACCAAAATGTTTTACACACACGTCTAAATCAGTGCTTTACTCCCAAGAAACACACACAGTCACTCAGTCCAATCAGTGAGTCGTCACAGACATATGGGCCAGGGCCCAGGTCTGATTTGGGGCAGGTAGGAGTTCACCTTCTGTTTTCATGCCCTGTTCATCCTTGTGGAAAGGATGAGACCCAGGAAGTTCAACTCAATGAGTATGGCAGAGCCAGGCCTCGAAACTCAGTCTCCAGTCTCACTCCAATGCCACGAGCACCAGGCACCGACCCTCCTTCTCAACGCGGAAGTTAGCAGTGAATTACACGACAAACTCCACAGCATTCCTCTTGATTAGCTCATTCCCAAATTAGTAAACCATATGATTTTCTGATTCAAAATAGGTAACACCAGCCCAGTTCAGTTCACTGATGCCTGGAATATTGATCTTTATGTGTTCCATTTTCATTTTTAAAAACTTCCAATTTTCCTAGATTCAAACTTTGTACATTACAGGTTCCAATTATTAATTGATATTTGCAGCTGTTTCGTCTCATTTTTGAGGAATGCCCCACCAGCCATCGAAAATCCCTAAGGCTTTATTCTTTCAGGCTTATACTCCATTCACGTCACTACAGTTGGCCCTGCCTTGAGAAGGTAGCTCTTCCTCAGTCATATTTTGAGTGTCTTCTGACCTGAGGGGCTCATCTGCGGGCCCTATTTCTGACAATATTCAAAATATTCTGACAATATTCTGCTGCTGTTTATTCTGTAACTGACAGTGTTTCCATGCTATCCACAGCACTTTCAGTGGCTAGTTCCTCTAAAGTGGACAGTGCTTCTTCGTAGTCTGTTCTAAGTCTGGAAGCTCTGCTGAACATTGTTCATTTTAGACAGTCCTGCTGGTATTGGAAATGTTAGTGACACAGTAAGCCACCACAACAAGCCACACAATACAACAAACTGACAGGCGAGTGGTGGTTTTCAAAGTTAACAGATGAAAAAAACTATACTACTGGTAAAACCAAGAAGACTATACAAGAGTAAAAACTGGAAACGTGTATAACCTGAAAAGCATAAAACTCATAAGTGCTTAAAATTAATTTTTAAAATATATTCCAATGGTTTTGTCATCCTCACTCTCCCTCAACCCTACAAAAATACATATACTCATGAACTAAGTAAATGAAATTCTTTTGTTTGGGTGGGATCAGACCCTCAATTGAATTTTCCAAGTTTTATTTATTCAATGAAAAAAATAATTTAAGTTTTAGAACTAGATATGTATATTGACATGTGGAACAGGTAAAAATTATGCAAAATGTGTGTTCCTGAAATTTTCTACCAGCAAAAATGTTTGCAAAGAGAGTTGTTTAATACACAGGATACCAAAAAACCTGGAAGCTTATTTGAAAATAGCCCCAAAGTGTCCTTTAGGCCAAGGGTGAGGATTCTGCTTTAGCTAAATGTTCCTCATCCCTCCACCCTTGCTGGCCCGAAGCCCAGTGTCTCTTAGGGAAGCATATCCTGGGCTTGGAATACTCTGATCACTTGCAGGAGAAAATAGGGCTCCTCGTTGTTGGGGTCTCTTTTCCTCCACGTAGACCCAGTGTTGCTGGACAATGGAGAAGGACGTGGAGACAGCAGGAAGCTGGAGCATTAAGATCCAAGAAGACAGACATGTATCTCTAAAGACGGGGGAAGGGAAGCAGAGAGCCGTTTTCCAGGCCAAGGAGGACAATGTGGACGAAGGACAGGGAAGCAAGGGGGTCCAGATACATGGGACTGGTGGGCAGGTAGGCCCACAACAGTGTCAGAACAGCCTCTCTTCTTCCGCCACACCTCAATCTCCACTCTGTGGGGCTGGGGCTCTAGAAACGCACTGCTACTGCTCAGCTCCCCACAGGGGTGGGGGTGGGGGTGGCAAGGGAGGATGGTGGAGCAAGGCCCCCTCCATGTCATACTATGGAAGCCTGTCACCAACTCTTACTCAGGTCAGCCATCCTGGAGAGTAGGGGAGCTCACAGGAGGAGAGACCCTATCCGTCAGTCTGGCCCTACACCTGACCATTGAGCGCCAAACTCCACAGCCTTCACAGGTGAAGGTTCAAGGTAGAATCCTCACCTTCCATGTTTCCGGAAGCCTGGGTTTCATTCCTGGCCTATGCACCTTATGTGTGGCAACCAACCTCTGTAAGTACATGCTCGTGTGTTGCTAGTATGCTGAACAAGTTTCAGCAGAGCTTCTGACTAAGAGGGACCAGGAAAGGCCTAGTGACCCAAAACGCAGCTACTGGAATCACTAGGGATCAGTCACACTGGTCTACTCAGGAGGACGCAGGACCAGGTAGCAGACTAAAGCCCCACCAAACGCACTGCCATCGAGTCTATTCCGACTCAGAGTGGCCCCAGAGGACAGAGGAGACCTGCCCTGTGCGTTTTGGACACTGTAACTCTTTATAGGTATGGAAAGACTCAGCTTTCTCCCACAGAGGGGCTGGTGAGTTCAAACTTCAGATCATGCAGTGAGCAGCCCAATGTATAACTCACTGTGACTCCAGGGTCTCTTAGGTAGCAAGGGGCAAACCAAAACTCAAACTCACTGTCATCGAGTTGATGACAACTCAGAGCAACCCCTAGGACAGAGGAGAACTGCCTCTGTGCGTTTTTGAGACTGTAACTCTTTAAGGGAATAGAAAACCCTGATTTTCTCCCAAGGAGCTGCTGGTGGTTTGGAACAGCAGCTAAGAACAACTTGGGCTTGGCTGGCAGGCCCCTGCCTTGTCAACACCTGGGTCTGTGGAATAGGGCCTTGAGAGGAAATCTCTAGCAGTGCCTCACTCGGACTCCTAGGCACATGCAGTTGGCAGGTGAGATGGTTTATTTGCTGGTAGGGGGGCAGGCTCCTAGGCTGAGTCCTTCACAACAGGAAGTGATGAGCAGCCCCCATCTCAGGAGGAGAGGCCCTAACGGGGTGAGCTCAGTAATCACTGCCTATCCCTGAGGGCTGAGCCTGGGAGAATTTACTCACAGCCAGCTGTACAGCCCCGCTTTTCACCATGAGGGAAAGACTGCGAGGGCTGCCTCCCTGGGATGCTGGTCACGACTTCTGCATGACTCAGATGTGAGCCAATGACTAGTGTGGATATTACTCACGGCCGTGTCATTACAGCGCTGAGATCATGTAAAGAAACACTCTTGGAGTTAACAGCCATACTTACTCAAACAGCACCACTGCAAAGGACTGCACCAGGCGGTAGAATGTTGCTTCTGAGACACACTTGGAATTGCAGCGCTGCCAGAGAGAACAGATAGGGGTCAGGATGGCACGAGAGATGTGCACAGCTGGGTGCTCTGACAAAGGTCTGGCATGGCCACTCACTGCCCCCTCTGAACTGCAGAACACAGGGCCTCAGGCATCTCCATACTGCTGTCCCTCAGCAGAATGCAAGCAGTGTCATTCTTACAGCACTTTAGAAAGCAGAAACTGCCTGTAGCCCCCCCACAAGAAAACAAAGGACAGCACTGGCGATTTTTGAATGGTGAACTTATGTATTTCTTGTTGCTTGCCTGGATTTTCTCATCTTTCCATAAAGAGTAACTGATGTATGTAAAGAACATGCTAATAAAAACCAAGAACCTAAGCTACAGGCTGGAGCTGTCTTGGATGTGTCTTCCTTCACAGAAGGGAATAGTGTGGGTTATTGAGTAGAAACGGGTTGCCTTTAAGATGGTGGTTTCTCAGAGCACAGCCTGCTCGCTCACCCAGGCGAACCAGCTCCCAGTCCCACACTCCCCCCACCCCAGCCCTTTCCAAAACACTGGAATAAGGGGTTTTTTCCTGTTGCCATGTCCCTGAACTACTCTCTCCAGAATTGAATTACAGAGTCAGTTAAAGAGTCAGGGAGTTGTTCCGCATGACCTAGTCATCCTAGTTAACTAGCTGGTCCTTCCAAGGGAAGCCCCCACCACCTCCCACCTCACCACCCTTACCTGGGCGCTCACAAAGCGGGCAAACCACTCCCGACCTTTCCCATTCTCACTGCTGCAATACTCCCCAAACTTGGCTTTCTCCTCCTGGTCCAGATCCTCCCTAAAGAGAAAGAGTGGGAAACATCCTTTCACACTCTGGGAAGGTAAGAAAGGAGAGGGCCCCACAGGGATGGCACCCAGCTTCCCACTGTACAGCAGCCTGGCTCCGAGAACCAGGCTCAGTTCCAGAGTGGTGGCCAGCTGTCCAGCTCCACAGCCCCTTCCTGCTCCTGCCCCCAACGACTTCCAATCATTTCCAAGTCTGAGTGGGTGCCACTACCCCGAGAGGGCTTTGCTCCCCAGCTATTGGGACTCCATTGATCTATGGCACTAAGCCAGTACAGAGAGCCCAGTGGGTTCGCCTGGGCAGTGCACCCTGAGGGTGTGCCTCTGGGCAGCAGGACGGACGAGCTGCTTCTTCCACAGAATGCTCATCCGTCCCCTGCTCTGAAATGATGGAGATAGCCAACCGTCAGTCACAGGGTGGTCAGAATGCCCACCTGGTTTCAACCCCTTCCTCTCACTTGAGGGGAGAGGCCGGTGCTCCGCCCAAAGACTCGCAAGGAAGCAGAGGCTGAACAACCAATGGCGGCCACAACTTCCTTTCAAGGCGCGAGAAACCATTCTGGCTTCACTGGCCTCAGAAAACCAAGACCAGATGCCTATGGGATCCTGCCAGCAGCCTGTAATGACCTTTCAATGCTCCTGAAAATGCAGCCAGCCCTGCTGTCCATGGTGCCGACGGGCCAGCTGCAGGTGTGGGCTTGATGAAGCAGCCTGGTTCTGGCCAGATCACCAGGAAGCCACAGCTGCTTCTCCCACAAAGGCACCCACAACCAACCAGAAACACATGCCATCATTGGCTTTCCCTCTTCCAGCCTTGGAAGGCAGTGTGGACCCTGTGGCTTAAGGCAGAAGGCCACCCTGGCCTCTTGCAGTGAGGGGCTGCAGACCCAGCAGAAAACTGTGAGCTCTTCGGTGATGAGAATGGATAAAAAGAAATGCTTCTTAGTGCTGAGTGAAGCTGGCTCCTCCAATGCCAGGTGCTTGCAAATGGCCTTGTGAGAAAGCAGGTCGGACTCTGTGGCCGGGGTGGGGCCTCAGACTCTGCATTTCTGTCACCCTAGGACAACAATCTGCACAGCCCAACATTCAGCTTGAGGTGCCTCAGGGCGCGCTGGGAGCTGGGTGGTTACCCCCACCAGGCATGAGTCTGCCTCTTGGCTTCCCCTCTCCCTAGTTAAGATACTCATATACACAGACTATGGGGGAAAGCTGGGGTCACTCCCTAGACACCCTGCTTCCCTGACTGCTTTGTGAACCCACTGTTGCTCCTGAAACCAGCACCCTTGCTTATACTTTACCTTTCTAGCAGTCTGCAGTGACCTTTCAATACCACACAAGAGAGACCATAATGGGATACAGGGAAGGACCCCTATCTACACGGCCGCTTACAGTTCAGTGCCCATGAGCACAAGGAGTGTGGGTCTCTGAAGCCTGAGAGTGTTATATATTGGCCCCAAATTGAATACCAGCTCAAAATTAGACTTCCTGGCTGATTCAAAGGATCCCTGGAGATGCAATAGTCAAGTTCTCAACTGCTAACCAGAATGCTGGAGTATGGAACTCAGCCACTCCACAGGAGGGAGGCCTAATAGTCTGCTTTGAAGCCAAAGCCTCTAGCCTGGAACCTCACCAGTGGCTCTGCCATGAATCAGAGACCATGCGACAATGGTGCCCCGCAGCACCCAACAAATGCCCATCAAGTGCCCCCCTCCCCCGACAAAAAACAAAACAAAACCCCAACTCACTGCCACTTCTAGTGACCCTAGTCAGAGGAGAACTGCCTCTTTGGGTTTCCATAGCAGTACATCTTTAAGGGAACAGAAAGCCTCATCTTTCTCCCCCAAATTCTCAAAGGCTATAGAAGCTCAAGCAGCAGCCCCTGAGTTTAGCAATGGAGAGGCAGAGCGAGTTCAGTAGTGTGCTCCGAGCTGTGCGGGAGAAGAAGAGCTGGTGCCAGCAAGCAGAGGCAATTCCTGCAAACCAGATGCAGGAATGTGCAGGCCGACTCTGGACTAATACACATAAAAATGTCCTAGTGCTCTGGGGGATGCCAGGTGATCTTTTCTTCACGCTTGTCTCTTTGTGTTCAGTGAGGAATCCTGGTGGCATAGTGGTTACATGTGGGGCTGTGATCTGGAAGGGAGAAAGATGGGGCTTTCTACTCCCAGAAAGAGTAAGTCTCAGAAACCCACGGGGCAGTTCTACCTTGTTCTATAGGGTTGCTGGGTGTCGGCATCAAGTGATGGTAGTGAGTCAGTTTGTGTTCAGTACATACAGTCTGCACCCATACACACACAAGGTGGTATGGAATCCATCCAGCTCATGGTGGCCCCTGGGTGTTCTCCTAGAGTTGTGATCCATGGGGTCTCCACAGGCAGTTGTTTGTGGAAGTAGATCACCTCTGGGTGGACTCAAACCTACCACCTTCCATAAGCCGTTGAGCATGTTGATTGTTTGCACCCTCAGGGACTCCTAAGTGTGCATGGATTTTTCTCACCATTGAGTCTGTTATGATGCTCAAAAGTATAGTCTGCTCAGGGGTGGGCAAACTTTTGGGATGGAAGAGTTAATCCTGTCCCTCACAACAATTTAAAAATCACTCAAGAGCCATACTTATATTTTTACCAAAAAAATGACATTTGAGTAATATACTTTAAATGAAACTATGATAGCTTGAGTTTCATTTCCTACTTTACTTTAGACTCGTGTAGGGACCAAAAGAGCTGCAAATAGCTCCAGAGCTGCAGCTTGCTGACAAGAGAAAAGGCTGCTGAAGACAAAAATGTTGGTGGGCTTTCTGCCTGCCCCTTTGATGTCTCCTGGAGTACCACTGAGAGCTGAGAAGGTCCTCGAAGAGAACGGGGTGCCACACAGACAGCATGGTGTCAGTGCTGACAGGGTGGGTGTGGGGTGCCTGTGTGCCCATGGAACTGGCAGAGGCCTAAGTGGGGAGTTGGGGGTGGGGTGGAGTAGGGAAGGTCATGTGGTCACTCATCTCCAAGAATCTCATCACTGGCTGTACTTCAGAATCTCTGGGGAGCCTGGCCATTTCTGAGTATTGTGCTGCCCCTGGAGATTGTAAGTTAATGGGGTTGAACTGGGGCCCAGGCCTGAGCACTTTACATATTCCCCACAGTCTCTGCTTGCAGTTGAGGGTGGGGCTGAGGCTCAGGACTGATAGCCATGGTAGGCCTGGCCTGGGCACCTGGTCAGATGTGGAGGCAGAGCTGCTAAGAGTCCTGACTGGGTTTGCCAGTGTGCACCGCCCTTACCCGCCAGAGAAGACCTTCTCCACGTAACTGCACATGAACTCTCGGAGCTCCAGGGCCTCCTCGTCCTGAACTGACGCAGCGCTGTGGTTGGAGGAGTAAGAGTCGTTGGAGGAGGAGCGCCGGTACTGGTCCCAGGATGGGTGGGAGAGCGACTCATCCATGTCATTCTCGCTGTCTGCAGATTCGGTGGTCTCACTCTCTGATGCACCATCCCCCAGAGAGCTGTCTCTTTTCTGCAGGTGTGGAGGCAGGGCCTCTGGGGGAGGAGAGGGCAGGGGCTCCGTCTCAAAGTCAATCAGCGACCCCACAGGGACTTCTGGAGCCTCCATGGCACAAGTGAGCTGCTGGTGGTGGGGAGGTAGGGACTCGAGGTGGAGGGCTGCCAACTTGCTTCCAAAGTGTGGAGCCAGAGGCCAGCTGGAACCCTGCCAGGGTCACGTGAGCCACTCAGGAGCTGGAGCCTCCCTGATGAGCCCTGTGCAGCAGTGGCACATGGCGCTACGGCATCTGCAATGTAAACACAAACCCATGAGGCTCAGCCCACGGAGAGTGGTTCTGCACACGAGACACGTGGGGCTGCCAGAACTCAACTTCCCAGACTAATAAAGCAGGGCCCCAAGCTTGCAAAATGTGGGGTTCGACACCAATGCATTTTCCTACTGCTGATAGGGCCCAAGAGATGGCCCACATGGATGGATGAGTCGAGGAGCAAGCCAATAGCAAGTACCAGGATTTCAGGGAACTGAGCAAGCAGACTTAAAGTAAATTGTATCTCCTGGCCTCCCACTGCAGCCACCAGCAGAGGTCACTGGCCAGTGAGTAAGCAGGCCAGTCCCTAAGATGGAAATGCACTGTTCCCAGAACACAGGGCTGACTGGAGACGTCATGAGGTCAGGCACATCAAGAAGGAATGGTTCTCTAAGCCAGGGTACCTCAACCTTGTAAATGAGCATCCACTCTTCCCAATTCATCTTTCATGTTCCATTCCTAGGGCTTTCCTGTTTCAACCAGAACCTTCCCAGAGACCTGTGGTCTGTGCTGTCTCAGAGCTCCTCAGGGCACTGACAGTGGTCTGGGCAGAGGGGCAGCCCAGGCCCTCCTCGGGTAGTGGGCACCTGTCTGGGGCCTCAGGGTCAGATGATATTCTCCTGGAAACCACAGTGTCAGAATCTCCACAGCAGAGGAAATCCTCCCTAAGAAACACACCTCCTATTAAAATGAGGAGGCATGCCCTGGTGGTACCAAGGCCTAACTCTAAGGTCGGTGGTTCAAACCACTATCTGCTCCTCAGAAGAAAGATGAGGCTGTCTGCTTCCATAAAGATGACAGCTTCAAAAGGGAAAAGAAAAAAAAAAAAAAAGGATGTGGATAGTGGGGGAACAGGGCACTAACCCACCCACAGGGAGGGTATTGTTTATGTCTCCACAGGAAAGGGAGAGACGGACCAGACCTCAACCTGGTACGCCAAGCCTTGAGGGCAACATACTGGCATAAAGCAGCAAAATAACAGAGAGGTCTG